CGCGCGCCCTCTGCCGGTCAGGCCGCGTCCCCTCGGGCCCGGCTCTCCCAGTCCAGGGCCGCACCCACGCTGCCTGCTGCTCGACCAGCTCCCCTGCGATGGCCGCCCTGCCCACAGCAGCTGAAATGTGGGGGCTTCTTCATACCTAATAATGGATTAGGTGGAAAAAAGGATCAGGTGTCAATCTGCTTTGCCAGGCTCTGACCTCTAAGAGAGCCCGAGCCCAGAATGTCAGTCGGGACCAAGGACGGACAGACTACATTCTTAAGGAACTGTCGCGCAGCCTGCGCACTGTTGGGGCCATGGGCCCCTGGCCGCAGGACTCTGACTCGTCACCCCCAAGTAGTGTCTCTGGCTATGATTCCCGAGCCTCTAGGGTGGAGAGGCAGGAACCCCCGCCTGGACCAGTCCTGTTCGCAACTAGGGACACTGACCGGTTGCAGGTACCTCTGGGCGCACTCTCGGGTTCTGGGGCCCTTCCCTCTTTGGAGTTTTCCCTCCGATGCCCCAGCTGCCAGCGTGCCCTCACTACCTGAGCTGGACTATTTCCGCAATTCCTAGGCCAGGACCTCTTAGTCACTTGCCCTGGCCGAGTCTATCCCTAGCGATGGCTGTATCCCAAGAGGAAGATGAGGCTTTCCCACTCCTGTAAAGAGGCACCGTCTTAAAACACCCAGGGACAGTTCTACTCTGCCCTATAGGGCCGCTAGGAGTCAGAAGTGACTGACCCCTCTACATATCTTTGTATGGCCACAGCTAAACTCCACCACTTCCAGTCAGGTTGAACAGTGGTGGCTTGTGTGTGGCTGGGCTCTGAAGGCATGTCACTAGTATTTCAAAAGCCAGCTGGGTCACCCAAAGTGAACAGGTTTCAGCTTCCAGACTGAAGAAGGACCAGGCTGTCCACTTCAGAGAAACTAGCTGAAAACCCTGTGACTAGCAACCAAACGTTGTCAGTGGCTGAAAACCTCATGACTAGGTCAGAGGTTGTACCAGAAGATGAGCCCGCAGGGCAGCAGACACTAAAAATATGCTGGAGGAAGAGCTACCTTCTCAACCACACTGACTCGGAGAAAGCCTGTGGAAGTACGACCTTTGGACCTTCCTTTGCTGATGGGGCAGGACTCAAAATTAGAGGAGACATCCACAAACATGTTAGTACATGGAACTTGGAATGTATGAAGTATTAATCTTAGAAACTTGGAAGTTGTTAAAAAAATGAAATGGAACACATCAAGGTCAACATTCCAGGTAAGCTGAAATAGGCTGATCTTGGCCATTTTGAATCAGAAAATCAGGTTTTAATGTGCCTAGAATTCTACAAGAAGAATGAGGTTGCATTCACCCTCAAAAAGGGCAATTACAGGTCCATCTTGAAGTCCAATGCTGTCTGTGATGGGATAATGTCTTTCTGCATACGGGAAATCCAATCAATACAACTGTTACTCCGACTTATGCACCAACCACCAAAACCAGTGCGAAGAAATTGAAGAATTCAAGAACGATGATGGCAACAAAGGTGCACATGTGCCTGACACAATGGTTGGATGTATGATTGTGATCAGAGTTGTATGAGCCCCCAATAAAATGATTTAACAACAACAAAAAGAAATGGAAGAAGTCTACCTGCATCTTCAGTCTGAATTTGATCAAACATGCAATCAAAATGCCTGGATAATTCTTGGTGGGTGGAACGCAAACGCTGCGATGGTTTGGGTGCTAGAAATGAAGGTAGAGATCTCATTGTAGAATTCTGCTAGATGGATGATAGTAAGCAGGTCATAATAACTACATTTTCCCCCAACAACACAAAGGCTAGGATCTACAGGGACTTCTCCAGATGGAATAATCAGAAGTCACGTTGACCACATCTGTGGGAAGAGACGATGGAAAAGTTCCAATATCATCAGCAGCTCAAACCAGCTGACTGTAGAACCGATCAATTACTCATGCAAGTTCAAGTTAAAGCTGGGAAAATGAAAACGTCCGTGAGAGCCAAGATATGACCTTGCCTATCCCACCTGCATGCCCAAAGCATCTCAAGAACAGATTTGATGCATTACATTCTACTGACAGAAGACCCGATGAGCTGTGGGATGATGTCAGAAACAGACATGAAGAAAGGAAAAGGTCAGTAGGAAGGAAAGGAGAGGTCAAGGTGGAAGTCAGAGGAGACTCTGAAACTGACTTGTAGGGTGGCTATAAAGCACATGGAAGAAATGATGAAGTCAAGTTGTTGAACAGAAAATTACAAGGGGTAGCTCAAGAAGACAAAGCCAAATATAATGAAATGTGCAAAGCCCTACAGTTAAAAAACACACAGCTTGGCATATCTTAAACAGAACTGAATAAACAACTTCAAGCCTCGAGTTGCAATACTGAATGATCCTATGGGCAAAATACTGGATGATGCAGGAAGCATAAAATAAGGTGGAATGAATAGAGCCACGATACTAAAAAGAAGAAGCCAAAATGCAACCGTTTCAAGAGGTAGCATGATCAAGAGCCAATGATACTGAAGGGATAAGTTCATGCTGCACTGGAAACATTAACCAAAAGCAATGTTCCAGGAATTGATGGAATACCAATAAAAATGTTTCAACAGCACTGGAAGCACTCACTTATGTCGGCCAAGAAATTTGGGAGACTGGAACAACTGGAAGAGATACATACTTGGGCCCATTCCAAAGAAAGGTGACCCAACAATGCTCAAATTACAGAGCAATACCTTTGATATCACATGTAAGTAAAATTTTGCTGAAGGTCATCCAACAACGGTGGTAGCCGTGAATTCAGGAGAGGACATGGAACGAGTTATCATTGCTGATGTAAAATGGATATTGGCTGAAAGCAGAGACTACCAGAAAGATGTTTGGGTTTACTTGACAAAGGTATTGAACTGTGTGTCACAACAAACTGTGGCTAGCCTAAGCATTCCAAATCAGTTCCCTGTGCTCATACAGAACCTGTACATGGATCAAGAGGCAGTTGTGCAAATAGAACAAGAGAATACTAACTGGCTTAAAGTCAGAAAAGGTGTTTGTCGGTTGGTACTCCCTCACCATGCTTATTCAATCTATATGTGGAGGGCTGAAAAGAGTTGCTCCAAAGGATTTTCAAGACTATCTGTCTTTACCAGAGTAGAAAGCCTCACCTGTCTCCCAGGGAGCAGTTAGTGGATTCGAATCTCTGACCTTGTGTTTAGCAGCCTAACTCATAACCCACTATGCCACCAGGGGTCCTTCTGAGCATGCCGCAGCACCCTGCCCCCCCCCCCAATTCACTGTCAATACTGGCTCATATCGAGTCTATATGACAGAGCTGAACTAGTCCCTGGGGATTTCTAAGACGAACTCTTACTGGCAATAGAAAGTCTCCACCTTCTCCCATGGAGCGGCTGGGGCTCTCAAACTGCTAACCTTTCCATTAGCAGCCCAACAGGTAACCAACCAGGACACCACCTGGGTTCCCAAGCACTAGACCACGAAAATGAGCTGCACCTGTGGAGAGAAAGAAGCACAAATAGTGCCCTATCCCCAAACCTTAAAACGAGACTCTCCGCCCACTCTGGATTCGCGGCCAACTCTCATCCCCAATCCGCCCAGCCCTGCCTCTCCGCCTTCCCTGTCCCTGCAGACCGTATCCCGCAGGTCCCTTCCGCCAGCAGGCTTCCCCAGCCCTCTGCTGTGGCAGGTGCCATCTTGGGGTGGCGGTGGGGGTGGGGAGTTCTAGGGCCCCTTTTAAGTCTCTGCTCCTGTGCCTGCTCAGAAGTCCTCACTGGAATGGGCTCTGTGATACCTCACTGCCCCTAGAACTGGGGACGCAGGGAATGTGAAATGGCAGAGTGGACCTGCACCCCCTTCTCCCACCCCTTCCTCCCCTCCCCTCATTGTCCAGATGAGGAAGTGGGAGGTGGGACAGGGAGGGTCTGTCTCCCCAGGCACTTGGGTTGGGTGTGAGGGGGTGTGTTTCCTGGCTGGAGCCGGAAGCCCTTGGCAGGTAGAAGCAGAGGCAGGCGGCAGGCCACAGCGAGCTTTGATTTCAGACAGCCACCTATAGGACACGTGGCCAGGCCTAGGCCCATGGAAGATCACGGTGGCAGTCCAGGCATGGAGGATTCTTGGTTCTTTGGCCCAACAGTGTGAAGCTGGGGCACACCCAGGCAAACCCGGGGTGGGGGTGAGGGGAGAGGCTGGGCTGCGGAGGAGCCTGGTTTCTGGGCTTTCCCTCAGTGACTTGCTGTGGCTCTTAGGTGAGTGGCCCCTCTTCTCCGGCTGAGCCTCTCCACAAGGGTGAGACCCTGGACTAGCATGCTGAGAGGGAGATCTCTCCTCATGGTCTGAGTTCAGAGAAGGGGCTGAGCCAGGTGTGTGTAGATACCAGGACAGGCTTTCTGGGGGGCATCCTGGCGAGGCATTGGGCTGGGAGGGGCCCTCATTGGACCCTCCAGCTGCACCAGAGCCAGCAGGCCCCATCATCCAGCAGCTTGCTGGAGTAGAAGCCAAGCACCAGCATGTTCCGTTCCTTGGCTCTGCCACCATTTCCTTAGGTTTCCCCCTCGTGCCCACCCTAACCCACCCCCAGGTTCCCCTCCAGAGGTAGCAGATGAGCATTTGAGGTCACCTGTGGGCCCTGGTTCTGAGAAAATGGGGCACGCTCTTTCCAATTGCTCTCGGCTGAAAAGACAGAAACCGCTGGGACATCTTATTCCCTTTATTCTCTTCAACGAATCGACAGACCACCAGCGACACAACACGGTTAGACACAAAACACTCAAGGGTGGGGCCTCTCCTCGCTTGGGGTGGGGGGGGCGGGCCAACTCAACAACTCAAGCCAATGGGGCTGCCCCGGTGGGGGGCAGTGGGGTCTGTGTGGGTGTCATGGAACCCTGCTTCTCAGGAGGATTTCGAGTCCCCCCACACACACACACACAATTCAGGAGTTCTCTAGAGTTCCCATCTGACCCCCCAGAGCCAAGTGGTTTCGAGTGTCACCCTAAGCTCAGGGCACTTTCTCCTCCCCCAGTGTTTCCTTAACCCTGTGGGGTGGGTCTGGGTCCTTCGTGGAGCCGAGTGCTGGGACGGTGTGCGAAGCCTCTCAGACTCAGCTCTGGTGGCAAGGGCTGAGGCCACTCCACTTGGTGGGCCACCTCTCCCAACCAGCTCTCACCTTCGTTTCTCCCAACAGCAGCTGGCTAGAGGGGAAGCACCTGGCTGAGAGGTGGGGGCAGGTGGCCCAGTGAGAACAAGGTCTCCCGGAGACACCTTTCCCCTGCGCTGAAAGCCCAGACCCCATGAATCGTGTCCACCCACACATCTTCCCTTCAGTACCGGAGCTGAGACCCTCAGCCCTCACCTGTTCCTACAACATGCGAGCATCCTATGATGTGCTACACCCTAGCCTCTGACTACGGGGGCCATCTCCCCTGGACTGACCCTTGGGCCCCGAAGGCTGTTCCCCAGAATGATTTTCTGGGGACTAGTTCCTTAGGCTGGTTTCCAAGGGGGTCTGCTTCTAGCTTTACAAGGGGCTTGTCTCTACAATTTAGTTTCTTTCTGCTCTTATTTGAAAGGGGGTGGGGTGGGGGGAATCTTAGACTTGGAGCATTTAACTCCTTTTCCTCCTCCTGAATGGGAGGTCCCCTTGGTTGAGTTTTTCACCAGAGGTCTAGAGGCAGGCTCCCCTGCCCTCTCAGCAGGGTTTTCTACCAGGCATTTGGGGGGGGCTGCAGATGTTAACAAGGTTTTTCCCTGCAGTCATCCATGGCTTGCTCCCCCCACCCCCAGCCTGGAAGCATTCTACATTGTGATCCTTCCCAACCTGAGGATGAGGATCATTCTTCAGGGGCAGGGGGATGAAGGGTGAAAGAACTTGTAGGTAGAGTTGCTGGAGGTCTCTCCCACAGCTGTGCAGGCATCCGGGTCCCCCTCTCTGGGGACATAGCCGCAGGAGGGCCACTTCATCCCGTGTGTTATGTCAGCACAGCACCGCCTTTCAGCTCCAGCATGAACCAAAGTTGTCCTCAGGCTGAAGAGATGTGTGTCCTCAATAACATGTTTTTCTCAAGAGTTCGCTCTCTCCAGCCATTTGAGGGACACACACACACACACACACACACAAAACCAGTCATGTGAGTGACTGTGGCTGAATGTGTGGTAATCGTGTGTGGGGTGTGAGAACAGGAGAGGGGCCTGGCAGGGAAACCCCGTTTCTCCTTCCTTCTGTTTCTCGGGTTTCTGGCTGAGGAGGAACTAGGCCACCATTGCCTGTGTGGGGTCATGACAGCCTCAGAGGGCTCCAGGCACCAGGAGGGCAGGGAAGGTGGTCAGGCCTCTGTAAACTCTTCTGGGACCCACGGTCCCGTCCACGGGGTGTCAGCCAGCCACAGTTAGGAGCAAGTCACTTGTCCTGCAGCTGCCTTACGGACAGCTGGAGTGGAAGACTAAAGTTTCAAAAAGCAGGTTGTTGGCTAATTGAAGCTTTCTACTTGATCAGCTTGCCGTCTCTCGTTACCACAGAGACTCCACCGTGGCTCTGGTAGACTGGAAGGGGTGAAGCCTAGACAGGACTGGACCGGACAGAGAGGCCTTGAGTCTCTATAGGGCGGTGTTCTTTGGAGGTCAATTAGCAGCGGACCACCCTCTCCCACTGAGGACAGAAGGCGGAGAGACGGGCTGTTACCACAGCAAGATTCCAGGAAAACCTTCCTGAGAGTGAGACCTGAGAATGTGGCAAGAGGGGCCCTCTGTCCCTGGCGTGGCTCTCGGAGCTGAGAGAAGGGGTATCAGTCCTGAGTCAGGGCGAATTCTGGGCCACCCAGGAGTGAGCAGGGTTCTCCCTTGAACCATTTCTCCACCTCAAAGCAACCACAGCAGCCCCCCATTCCTCCTCCTCCTCCTCGTGTGTGGGGTTCCCAGTGTCCTTACGTTCTGTGCACCCCGCAGCCCCCCCCAACATCAGCCTCTTGCTATCTTTTCCTTTTTCTCTTCCTTGCCTTCATATTTGATAAGGAATTCCACAGGCCTTCCCCCCTCCCCCGTGCTCTTGCACACCCCCACACTACATAGCTTCTCTGACACTGGCCTCTTGCCCAAGAAGCCCACTGTGCGCTGAGCTGGCTCCTCTCCTCAGCTCACTGGGCCTCTGCCGTTAGTCTCATGCCGTCTGGCTGCTCCCCAGGTGAGCGCTTTCCTTAAGGGGCTTCCCACCCCGACTCTCGGGGGGCAGCAGCGGGGGATGGTGGACGGACAGGATGGACACCATGAAATAGGTTTATGGGAGGCTCGCCTACACCTTCTGAGGGCCACGGTTATCCCGACCCTATAGTTTCACAAGGCCTCTGATAACAGTTCTATAGGGCTGTCTAGAGACGTATTGGGACCTCTTCCTACAAGTAATAGGGCTTTTTAATCCACTGTGGTTTATAGGGTTTTCTCTGCTACAGACTTAAAAGGATTTTGTTTTCCTACATATTTATAGGGTTTCTAACCCAAGTGTTTCTATGCTGCCTTATAAGTGGTTCCCCCCCACCCCTGCAACAACTTGATCGGGTTTCTGGGCCCCGGATGTAAAAGCTACTACTGCCCCGGGTTCTCTTGCCTCCGCTTTCTCTACCATGTAGCCGGGTGTTCTTCCTTCGTCTGCTTTCTTCTTGGGAGGCGCCGGTGTGCCTCTCAGTAGAGAGAGAGAGAGAGAGACCGCTTTCTCCACACCCTCTTCAGAGGGAAACCCCGGGGTGGCAGCTCCGGTGGAGCAGGAGGGCGGCGACTTCGCTGAAGCCGTCTCCACACTCGGGACACAAATAGGGTCTCTCTTCCAAGCGGGACTTGGGCTTCTCCCCTTCTCCGCGGTTGCTACTCCCCGTGGGGGCGGGGTCCGCCCCTTCGGGGGCGCTGGTGCATAGGGTGGCTGGCTCGGGCGGCGGGGCCTCGGGGCTGGGGGGCTTGTCTGGGGTGTGGGTCTCCTGGTGCCTGGCGAGGGCCAGGCGGTCGAGGAAGGCGGCCCCGCAGTCGGAGCAGCTGTAGGGGCGGGCCCCCAGGGGGCTCGTGAGGTGCTCCAGGAGTACGGACGAGCCCCGGCCCAGCTCGGCGCCGCTCTTCGGCGCCTTGCCGCCCGCGTGCACCTTCTGGTGCTGCAGCAGCTCCGAGCTGAGGCCGAAGCTTTTTTTGCACTCGGGGCATTTAAAGGGCTTTCGGCTCAGGAAGGGGCTGGGCCCTGCCCCTTCCCCGAGGCCAGTCCGGTAATCGGGGAAGGGGCAGGGCTTCTCGCCGCCGTGGCTAAGCTGGTGCTGGAGCAGCAGGGCGCGATCCAGGAAGCTCTCGCCGCAGAGGGCGCAAAGGTGGGCTTTGGAGGAGAGCAGGCCCAGGCGCTGGCTGAAGCTCTCGGCCGGCCCGTCGGGCGTCTTAAACCGCTGTCCCGGGGGCTCGGCTCGGCCGTCGGGCGCGCCGCTGGGGTACGAGTTCCCCCCGAACGGGAGCCTCGGGGGCCGGCACTGCGGGGGCTTGGGGGCGGGGTGTGCCAGCAGGCCCTCGGCGTTCTTGTAGGGGTTCTCCCCGATGTGGATCCTCTGGTGCTGCATGAAGATGCCCTCGTCGTTGAAGCCCTTGCCGCACACCAGGCACTTGTGGGGCTTGGCGCCCGGCGGCGGGGTCAGCAGCGCCGGGTCCCCGAACCCCAGCAGCGAGTCGCCCTGCGCTCGGCGCGCCGCGGGCGTCTTGCCCCGCTCGTGGACCACGCGGTGCTGCTCCAGCTCGTGCGCCTCCAGGAAGGCCTTCCCGCAGTCGGCGCACACGAAGAGGTTCTCGTCCATGTGCGTGCGCACGTGCGTGATGAGGTTGGAGCTCTGGCTGAAGCTCTTGCCGCACTCGGGGCACTTGTAGGGCTTCTCGCCCGTGTGCGTGCGCCGGTGCTGGATGAGGTGCGAGCTGCGGATGAAGCTCTTGCCGCAGTCGGCGCACTTGTAGGGCTTCTCGCCCGTGTGGATGCGCTGGTGGCGGATGAGCGTGGAGCTCATGATGAAGCTCTTGCCGCAGTCGGCGCAGATGTAGGGCCGCTCGCCGCGGTGGATGCGCTGGTGGTTGATGAGGTTGGAGCTGACGCTGAAGCTCTTGCCGCACTCGGGGCACTTGTAGGGCCGCTCGCCCGTGTGCGTGCGCTGGTGGCGCAGCAGCGTGGCGCTCAGGGTGAAGGTCTTGCCGCACACGGGGCACTTGAAGGGGTCCTCGCGGAGGTGCGTGCGCTGGTGCTTGATGAGGGTGGAGCTGTGGCCGAAGCTCTTGCCGCACTCCAGGCACTCGTAGGGCTTCTCGCCCGTGTGCGTGCGCTGGTGCTGGGTCAGCTCGGAGCTCTGGATGAAGCTCTTGCCGCACTCCGTGCAGCGGTAGGGCTTCTCGCCCGCGTGGATCTTCTGGTGCTTGAGGAGGTTGTGGTTCTGGCCGAAGCGCTTGCCGCACTCGGGGCACTTGTAGGGCTTCTCGCCCGTGTGCGTGGCCTGGTGCTGGATGAGGTCGGAGCTGCGGTAGAAGGCCCGGCGGCACTCGCCGCACTTGTAGGGCTTCTCGCCCGTGTGCGAGCGCTGGTGCTTGATGAGGTTGGTGCTCTGGGTGAAGGCCTTCTCGCACTCGGTGCACTTGTAGGGCTTCTCGCCCGTGTGCGTGCGCTGGTGCTGCACCAGGTTGGAGCTCCAGCTGAAGCACTTGCCGCAGTCCGGGCACTTGTAGGGCTTCTCGCCCGTGTGCGTGCGCTGGTGCTGCACCAGGTGGGAGCTCTGCGTGAAGCTCTTGCCGCACTCGGAGCACGTGTTGGGCCGCTCGCCCGTGTGGATGCGCTGGTGCCGCAGCAGCTTGGACCACTGGCTGAAGCTCTTGCCACATTCGTTGCAGATGTAAGGCTTCTCGGCCCCTGACGGGCGGCCTTGGACCAGCTCCCGCAGGCTCGGCTCGGTGGCGGGCACCACGGGCGGGCTGTTCCACGTGGTCAGGGCCCCCCACTGCCAAGTGGCCTCGCAGGCCTTGGTCCAGTCGGCCGGAGCAGGGACGACCTCAGGGTCCGAGGGGTCTGGAGGTGCCTGGAGGTCCGAGGGGCTGGCGGGTCCCGGTGAGGCTGGGGAGTCCTGGGGGGTGGAGGGAGCCAGGGAGGGCCCCTCCAGGGTCATCTCTGCAGGGTCCTTGAACTCTGGGCTCTGAGCTGGATCTCCCAAGATGACCTCCTCCCCAGAACTTTCTTGCCGGGAGCTCTCCTCGTCGTTTCCACTTTCAGCGCCTACAGAGGAAAAGGGAGTCTCCAGCCCCCACCTCCTTTCAGCACGCAGTGGATGGGGGTCTGCTCTCGATTCCCTCTCCTTTGCTCTCGCCCCTCCACCACCCCCACAGTCTGGTTCCCCACCCCGGCGCCCTCACCTCTGTCAGCATCCTCGTGGCTCTGCTCAGGGTCCTGCTGCAGATCCGGGCCCCACAGCACCGTCTCCGGCTCCATCCCAGAGCTCAGGATGCCAGGGGGCCTTCCGGGAGCCTGGTAAGGAGAGAGGAGCAAACAATGGGAGCTCATCGCCCCATTTGCCTCACCGCCCCCTCCCCCTCCCCGCAGCCACACTCCCCAACCTTGGCCCACTGGTGAAAGCTGCCACGGAACTCACTGCAGACGTAGAGGCCCCGACGGGCGAGCTTGCACCAGCTCTCGCAGGCTGGCTCATGGGCCGGGACCATTGGGGGGCTGTTCCACGCAGTCAGGGCCCCCTCACCGCCAACTGCCCTCAAAGGGCTTTGCTCCAGGCAGACAGGGACAGGTAAGGCTACCTCGGGGGCCTGGGGCTCCAGGAGGATCTGGCCTTCCCCCCTCCTGCCCAGGCCTCCGTCATCCTTAATGAGCTTCAGTTGCCTATCCCCCTGCTTTCCTGGGCATCAGCTCTCCGTGCCCCTCCCCCTCCGCAGGCCTGCGTCTTGCTCCAGATCTTAAAATCACAACAAAGCACAGAGATGAATGTAAGTGTGTAATTAAGAGCTCATCAGCCGTAACCCTTTGAACCCAGGCTGGGGGCAGGAGAGGTAGCTGACACCCACTGCCTCTAATGCCCCGAGGCCAGGGAAACCTGTTGTTTTGCCAATCAGTGGGAGCTTATTACCACTCTAATTTCCCTCCTTAATGGGACTGCTAATTGGAACTAATAAACTTTTTCCTGTTGAGCCCGAGAGAGAACTGAAGTTGCCTAGGGGCACTTGAAGGGTTAAAAAAAAAAAAAAAGAAGAAAAGAAAAAAACCACTCCAATTGTCTTGAGGGAAGAGGGGCTGTCCAGGTGGGCTGGGGCCAGTTCCAGCTAGGCTCATGCCAGAGGTGAGTGTGTGTGTGAGAGTCGCAAGCAGTCTGGTGGCGCAGGAACCAGGGAGGGGCAGTGCCTTCCCCAAACTCACTGCCAGCACTCGATGGAACTTGAGTCAGAAACTCCGGAATAGTGTAGACCTGCCCCTGTGAGTTTCTGAGGCTGTAACGGGCCCCATCTTTCTCCCTGGAGAGAGGCTGATGGTTCTGAACCGCAGACCTTTCGGTTAGCACCCCAACTCACCTCCACTCCTGCACAAGAGCTCCTCCCTGACCCAGCCTCCTAACTCTGGGAGGAGGCCCCCAGGAGGGGGTGGTGGTGCTGTACATTTTACAGATTAGGGCACCAAGAGCGAGCACAGAGACCAGACCTCTGCAAGGTGACAAGGCACAGTCTGGGAAGCGCCTGAGGCCAGATCCTAAAGAGATGCCGGTTTCTCTGTCTGGCCTGCCCCTGCCCCTGGGAGAAGGAGATGACCTTGGGGATCATGTGAGCCTCAGAGCCAGCCCCGGGCTGCTGGCACGAGCTGGGGCTGAGAACAGCTCAGATAGTGCCTGCTGGTGGTAAGAATGGGCCGGAGAAATCCCGGGAACTAGGAGGTTGGTGCAAACAGCCTGACTGTGATCTCTGAGCAGTGGCCCCCACTGGAGCCGGTCACCATGGGGCCCCTCCCTCAGACACCACCTGCAGCTCCTCCACCCCTCCCTCTCCTTCTGTGTTGTGGATGCTGCACCAAGTGCCCAGGGCAGTGCCTGGGACAAGCCATGGGCTCAGGAAATGTCTGTTGAATGGACGAGTGTCCCTTGCTTCTGGAGAACAGGTTAGGTCCGATGCCACTGACAATTCTGTTGATGAGCCACAGGGTGGGAGGCAAAGGACAGCAGGTCGGCACAACAGGTCACTTCCCAAAAGGGTGAGATGATTACTGGATGGGGGTGCGAGGCCGCGCAGGAGCCAAGAGCGGTAGAATTTAGCACAGCTTTAGACTCCGACGGTGGGAGGGGGGCTCTGCGCGGGATGAGCACTGTGCGTGGGGGCAGCGGTGCCAGGAGAGGGGCCAGGGCGGGGCAGCCTGGTTTGGGAGGTAAGTGGGGAGGAGGAACTAGCTGAGGAGGGGCAGGGGTTACATGCTTGGCAGTAAAGGAATTTCTTCATGTCTGCAGGGACTTAGGCTGAGAACACCCCAGGCCGGCTAGTGTCTTCGGGGTGGTGGCTCTGCCAGATTTGGCGAGGGGTGGGGGTCTGGCTGGCTCTCTGAGGAGGCTGCAAAGGGTTTGCTGAGGCCAGGTAAGGCCTTAATTGTGTAGAAAACGCAGAGGAAGCGCTCCAGAGGAGAAAGGAAAGGGTTAACGGAGGCCAGGCAGTCGGGGAGCTGGCGAGCGGGCCCAACAGAGACAAGAAGTGCTCGGCGCCAGCCCAGGCCCTGGCAGCGGGCACGCCTAGCCCCCCGGCCTCGGCCCGTGCGAGGGGGGCAAGCGCAAGGCCGAGCCCCCGCCCGGAGGGGTGCAGGGAGCGGCCCAGGGTGACCCTGACAAGGTGGCACCCTGGCCTCGGCGCGCCCCCGACGCACG